TTTTAGGATACTACTACCAGAAAAAAACAGGGTAAGTGTTTTTTTTTGCATGCTTCTAAGTAGACTCACGGATCATTACTTGTCTTTTGAAACTTTGCAAATAGACAATTAAAGCTGACGCACTCAAAATCAAGGGACATTTCCAACCTGCGAGAAAACAGAGACTACGAACATGATTGTGACATGTAAACATGGGAGAACGATCTAGTATAAAAGATTTGAAGACTCAAGAATTTTTGAGTTTTTAAACAAACCAGTGAGACTTTGGAAAGAATGAGCATAGGACTTATGAGGACCATGGATTACCATCAATAGTAACCAGTAACTAGCAGCGGAGGGAACGAAACTCGCGCAAACAATGCCCGAAGACCTTGGCATGCCTATACGTTCGAGTGCGTTATGAATGCGGCCTATGCCAATGTGGGGGCGTGTCGCCGTGACGAAGGTCTTCAAGACAACTATTCCATACAGAAGTCATGACACAAAACACAGAACACGTGTTAGAGTGTCTTTGACCGGATCCGACAGCAATACCCTCTAGCAATTTAAAGGGCCGCCGCGTAATACTGCAGGTCATGTACGTGTATGTGTGTAAATCATTGAACCCGCTTTTGGCTGTATCTCCTTCACCCTCGATAATTGACGGCTTCTTTGAGGTTCGAGGCGCTTTATATGGTTACATACCGATCGCTATTTGATAGGACTTGGCCCTAACATTATGGTGAACTCAGTGATGCAGGCAAATAAGGGAAAGTGCTAGGAAGGCATTTTTTACAATATACTTATCAGAACATTTTTAAAAGCTCTTGTCTTTAAATTTTCCTACCATCATAGTGAGTAAATCGAGGGACAATTAAGCACCACTTCATTATCAGATGAAGAGCAGTTTCAGCACAGCAAGGAGTATTAGCGCATGTATTTGCAGTAGAACTAACGTTGTCCCAAAGTATGTAGACGAAATACTCAGTAGCGTTATGAAATTATTATGTACGCAAAAGTTCACAGAACTTTAAGCCAAGATGTAACTCATGGATTAAAAAGGAAATCTTATAGAGCTAATGCATTTGCGTGCCATTTCACCATCTCTAGAAAAGCTTTTGCAAATGGGACACAGATACTAAAGCATTATCAGGGATATCCAAATAATCTTTAAAAAAAACCAAATGTCTGAAAATGCCTTATATTATAAGCTGCTTTTCAAGCAGCTTTTATTCAATTGGGATCCAACTTGACGGGGCACAAATCATTTTCACCCTCGCAGTGGGCCTCGTACGAGTTCCTTCTCGCTTGACCTTTCATTTGAA